GTGCAATCCCAGTGGCACAGGGAGAGGGTAAGATTTACCCACGATCTGACAGCACTGTCTGACAGCACTGGTAGTGCCGTATCGCTCGCGTTAGTGTGACGTGTGAGCCGCCCCCCTCTCTCACTCTAGAGTAGGGGGGATATAGCCATCTCTCTCGCGAGAACGTGTCGTCTCACTCGCTTCGCGCGACCCGCGAACAGTTCCCCCTCTCTCACCCCTGTGTAGCGTGGGGTATTGTCATCTCGTTCGCGGTGTTTACCAAACAGTGCAGTTATCTTTCGCGACATTGTCTTCTCATTGGCACTACTTATTAACAGTGACTCTCATTTGTGATCTTATCAATCAGTGGCACTCAATACAGACATCTCGATTAATCATCACGATGGTGCTTGTGCGTGAAGAAGATCAAAAAGCCAAGGCATCAGGCAGTCATGATGACCAAGAACCGCTCAGCCAGCTCAACCTACCAGCTTGGCGGTACCATCCACGTCTGCTCATGGCCAAGGTCCCCGGACCAGGAGCCAATCTCCGGTACCACTCAGTAGTGAACTGACACTGCGCGTGCAGGCTCAGAATGAGCTTATTGTAACTATGGAGGATATACTCAGTCAGATCGGTGAGCCCTCCGAGGGGATCACCTTGACAGAAGTGAACATGATGCTCGAGCAGCTTGAGGAGCTGCATAAGACCTTTCGACTCGAGCACGCTTAGCTTGTTTGCAATTGGCCTCCCAGCCAAATGGGACATCCATACCTCACTGAGATGGTCAGCATCACCGAGTCGAAGCTGATGCTGAAAACAAAAAGATTGCTTGGTCGACTCAGAGAACAACTCACGCAGACAGCTCAACCAGCTCCTCCACCTGAGGCTGGTGCTCGTACTCGCTCCCGGCTTCCTTAACTAACAGTGCGTACGTTCAGTGGCGAATGCCGGAAATGGCCTGACTTCAAGGCCATGTTCAGCTCAGTCATCGGAGACCGCTCAGACCTCAGTGATCTGGAGAAATTCCAGTATCTTAAGTCAGCGATGCAAGGTGAGGCTTACGAGCTCATCGCGAACATCACTCCAGACGACTCCTCATATGAATCGGCGTGGACACTGCTCATCTCACGGTTTGAGAACAAACGTCTCATAATAAAATCCCATGTAGAAAGGCTACTCAACCTCAAACCGATGCAGAAGCGCCAAGCCACCTCGCTGACAAAAATGGTTAACATCATTAATGAGACCACTCGTGGCACTCAGAACACTCACAGTGGAGAGCAATAACGATTGCCTCATGGTCACTCTCCTCACTGGACTGCTCGATCGAGACACTCGCGAGAGGTGGGAGACATCTCTTGCCTCTACCGATGAATTTCCGACACTCAGCCAGCTCACTGAATTTCTGGTCGCTCGTGCTCGCACATTGGAGACCATGGAAGCCTCATCCACGCCAGCTCAATCCAATGTGCAGAAAGGGGCTATGACTACTCGGGCAAGCTCGCATCAGGCATCTCAGCAGCCTCCAGCCAGCTCAACAAGGTCGGTCACTCACCAGACGTCTCATCCAGCTCAGTCCCGGACAGGATATCCGTGTGACTGTTGTGGGCAAGATCACTACATCGCGATCTGCCCAAGAATGCGAGGCTACTCGGTCAGCCAAAGGGTGAGGTTGATCAAAGAGAGGAGCCTATGCTGCAATTGCCTAGGCAGGCACAGTCTGAGGAAGTGCAACAGCCGACGGCATTGCAAGACGTGCAACGACTTTCATCATACCTTGTTGCATAGTGCTGACCTCTCAACCATCTTCGGTCCACCAAGAGATGGGGCTCAGACCGCTCTTGAGGTGCCGGATGCACCCGCTCCCTCAGAAAAGTCTTCTCAAGCATGAAGCTCAGGGCAGCTCGTTGAGAGTTGCGATCACCCTATGTCTAGCTCAGACCATCTCAGTCATCTCACATTGCTGGCCACAGCGACAGCGATAGTCGTCTCAGCAACAACATCAGTTCAAGTTCGTTTGCTCATTGACCCTGGATCAGAAATCTCGTTCGTCTCAGAAAGGCTCACCCAGCAGCTCAAGCTTGAACGAAGGCACTCAAGGCTGGACGTTTATGGTGTCGGCGGAAAACGGACTTCTCAAACAAGAGGAATAAGATACAACAGGAACCCGAATGGCCTCACCTGACGGGTCTGAATCTCGCTGATCCAGAGTTTCTCGTTCCAAGGGCAGTAGAGGTTATAGTCGGAGCAGACTTCTACGGCCAATTCATCAGGCCTAACATTATTAGGCACTCAGAAAGATCTCCCATTGCTCAGTTGTCCATCTTTGGGTGGCTGGTAATTGGCCCAATTCAGGCACCGGTCACACTTGCAAGGACGACTCATCATGGCAGCTCTCAGGCATCAAACTCATCCTTGCAAGAGTTGTTGACACGGTTTTGGGTCCAAGAAGAACCTCCATCATCGGACAACTCACCGCTCACTCCTGAGGAGCAGGAGTGTGAGCTCCACTTCAAGACCACTCATTCAAGGGACTCGACAGGGCGCTACATCGTCAGGATACCGCTCAAGTCGCCCCCAACAGTCCTGGGAGATTCTTATCAGACAGCTCATCGATCGCTCCAACGAATTCTCAGACGACTTGGCAGAGACACTCAGTACGACCRACTGTAYACTCAGTTCATGCGAGAGTATGAACAAGCTCAACACATGCTCAAGCTCGATGACAGCTCAGTTGGTAGAAGGCCACACTATTATCTGCCTCATCATGGGGTGCTCAAGCCAGACAGCTCAACCACGAAGCTCAGAGTTGTTTTCAACGGTTCAAGCGCCAGCTCCACTGGTCACTCGCTCAATGACATCATGCACGCTGGTCCTAATTTGATGCTCAACATCTTCGACTTGCTCATTTGGATACGCCAACTCAAGTATCTGTTTGCGACTGACATCACAAAGATGTACCGGCAAATCAAGATACACCCAGATGACCAGGATCTTCAACGCATCGTGTGGGTGAACGAACAGCATGTAGAATCTCATTTTCAGCTCACCACAGTAACCTATGGAACTAAGTCAGCACCGTTCCTAGCTGTAAGAACGCTGCTTCAGCTCGCTGAAAATGAAGACTCCCATTATCCTCTTGCTGTGAAACCGATCACTCACGGGCGTTACGTTGATGACATCTTCGGAGGATCCGATACAGTGGAACAGCTCGTGGAGACTGCTCACCAACTCATACGGCTCTGCCATGCGGGCGGATTCCCGCTGGCCAAGTGGCACTCTACTTCTCAGCAACTGTTGAGAGAGGTCTCGTCTGAGCTTGGCGAGACCTCAGGCATCTCATTCGATGACTGTGATACCAAAATCCTTGGTATTCGATGGTCACCTCAACAGGATGTGTTCGACTTCTCAACAATCTCGTCTTCTCCCTCCAAACGATTCTCAAACGTCTCGTCCTCTCAGAAGTAGCACAAATATTTGATCCATTAGGCTTCGCCTCTCCAGTCATAATAAAAGCTAAGATCTTTCTTCAGGCTCTCTGGTTGCACAATCTCGACTAGGACGACTCACTCTCGGAACAGCTCATTTCCCAATGGCTCAGCATCAGACAAGATCTCATTAGTCTGGCCAGACTCTCCATCCCACGTTGGTTTAACACGCTCTCTAATTCAGCTGTTGAACTACATGGCTTCTCTGATGCATCGCAATTCGCAATCGCAGCTGTTGTGTATCTCGTTGTCAACTCGCCGTCCACTGGCGCCAAGGTCTCTCTCATTTGCTCAAGGACAAAGGTCTCCCCGCTCAAGCGGCTAACCATCCCGAAGTTAGAACTCTCAGCAGCGCTGCTACTCTCCGCGCTCATGAATCATGTTTGCGCTACTCTAAACATGAACATAACTAAGACAAATTTGTGGACGGACTCTCAAGTAACACTCATATGGATCAAGGCTCATCCATCAAGATGGAAGGATTACGTACGCAACCGCGTAATCAAAATTCAAGAACTCTCAAGGAACGCTCATTGGAGGTATGTGCCAGGCACATCAAACCCAGCTGACTGTGCATCGCGTGGGATATCCACAGATCAGCTGGAAAAGCACACTCTATGGTGGACGGGACCACCATAGATCACTCAATCAATGGCATCATGGCCGGCTCAGGTCGATACAGCTCCTGATGACTCATGTGCACAAGAAGCTCGTGCTCGTGTCGCACATCACGCGGTACGATCTTCTCCGAGTTATCATTGGGATTTCATTCATCGGTTCTCGACGCTCAATAGGTTGCTCCGAGTTACAGCTCTCTGCAGTAGATTTATTAAGAGGCTCTCAGGAGAGCTTGACTCGATACCAGCAGCCTATATCTCAGTCCAAGGAATGGAAGACTCACGACTCTTTTGGGTCAAGGCTACTCAATCAGCGTACTATTCAGAAGAAATCTCAGTGCTCTCAAGACAATCTCAACTGCCAAGCTCGCACCCACTCTCTAGGCTTACCGCATTCATTGATGCCGGCGGTGTGCTCAGGGTGGGCGGTCGTCTTTTAAGGTCCAAACTCATGTACGAGGCTAAACATCTAGCGATTCTCCCTCGTAACTCCAGGTTCTCAGAACTCGTCATCGCCCATGCTCATAAGAAAACGATACATGGAGGCACTCAGTCGACTCTGGCACTCATCAGACAACTCTACTGGATCATCGGAGGAAGAGCTCCAGTGAAGTCATATGTTCTCAGGTGTGTGTTGTGTGCTCGTTATAGGGGGATCCGTGCTCAGCAACTGATGGGCCAACTACCTCTGGCGCGAGTCACTTCATCACGCCCGTTCTCTCACACAGGCATTGACTACGCTGGACCGCTCAGGCTCAAGACGTGGAAAGAACGTGGCTCCAAGACTCACAAGGGTTGGATCTGTGTATTTGTCTGTCTATCAACTTCGGCAGCTCATCTCGATGTCGTTTCAGACTACTCAGCCGAGGGCTTCATTGCAACTTACAGACGCTTCACCTCAAGGCGGGGTGTCCCGTCAGACCTCTACGCTGATTGTGGCACCAACTTCTTGGGCGCTGAAGTTAAGCTCATGCAATGTTTCTCAGAAAGCTCTTCAGGACGTCGAGAAATCTCTTCTGTGCTAGCTCAGGACAAAACACAGTGGCATTTCAACCCGCCTGCAGCCCCCCACATGGGTGGGAAATGGGAAGCAGTAGTCAAGTCTCTGAAGGTTCATCTCAGAAGATCTGTCGGAGACACACTGCTCACGTATGAGGAGACTTCCACACTCCTCGCTCAAATTGAAGCCATTCTCAATTCCAGACCACTCGAACCGCTCAGCGATGATCCAGAAGATACCTCAGTGCTCACACCAGGGCACTTTCTCATTGGAACGGTACTCAACGCTGTTCCTGAAGGCTCAATATTAGACATCTCAGCAAGTCGGCTCTCCAGATGGCAGTTCATCCAGCAACGAGTTTAACAGTTCTGGCGCATGTGGTCAACTTAGTATTTACAACAGTTACAAGCCATCTCAAAGTGGCATCACGCTCACAACCAGATTCAGGTAGGTTCACTCGTTCTCCTTACTGATGAGCGTTTGCCTCCAGGAAAATGGCCCATGGCTAGGGTGCTCAAGTTGCTGCCAGGGGAGGATGGACTCACCAGGGTGGTATCACTGAAGACGGCTACCACAACACTCACCAGGCCGATCACCAAGCTCGCAGTCCTCCCAGTAGCCCCTCAGAAGACAGCATAACTCATCATCAACTTCGTTGCTGATGGCGGGCGGAAATGTTTGGGATTTCTAATGCCCAATCAGAACTCGCGATAGTTGTCGCTCAATGCAGACTCGCCATAACTCATTACGGCGGTTGAAGAATCATCTTGACGCCGGCTTGTCAGTCAGTCATCTCTTTGCCATCACATATACAAGTCGTGTCTTCTCATTACATTCTAAAATGTCATCATTAGTTCTCTACATCTCGTTCCAACTACACGTGTCACAGAAAAATATAAAAAACTACGATGCGAAGGATTTTCCTATTAAAATTAAGAGCTCATATTTGGTGAGAATTTTTTTTAGGTGTCTAGCAATCCATTTTTCCGTAGATCTTGTAAAGAAAAAATAATTAATTTTTTTGATCCGCTCTAATATATATATATATATAAAAACGGTGACGGTAAGTCACCTTATAAGTATATATTTTCAGTGCATTGAATAAATATGTCTAATGGTTATTGTACCACCGGTGGTACACGTGGCACGGAACGTGTTAATTATAATTTATATTAATAATTTATGTTATAATTCATTATTTAATATTATTTATTAATTATAATTAATAATATTTAATAATTATAATTAATAATATTGTTAATTATATATGGATTAGTAATATAATGGAAATTAGCACAAGTTCGCATGGCTCAGTGAGGCAAATTACCATCCAGTAGCAATGTTCATCCAATAATCGTATGTTCCTAAATTCAAATCCCGGAGAGTAAAAAAAAATTAAACGTCATATACTAGTAAGAAATTCGGCAACAACTAGGCATCTTTATGACATTTTCATTTTGATGTAATTGTGTTCACTGGGTAATAGCAAATTGTGATATAGTAAATAAGCGAAATTGTTTTTGAATTTTGCATCTAGTTTTAGTAAACCTTAAAACTTGTCTATTATGCGATCAAGCTATCAATAAAAGTCTTTTATATGCAAAAATTGCACTTATTTTCCAACATATTGTTTTTAATTTTACCGATTTTAAATCACAGGAACATTTTTGTAGTAAAGATACGAGAATTCACTAACATATAAGTATCAGTATTCTGTAGACCCACAAGTTTCTCTATTATGCAGTAAAGCTTCAAAGAAGCTTTGGATAGCTAAAAAAAGTACCAATTTTTTTTACTTTTTTGCTTGTGATTTTATCGATTTTAAGTCATAGGAATTTTTGTATAGTAGAGAAACGAGAATTTTCCAAATTATTAGAATTAGAGTTCTGTAGACCCTCAGAACTAACAACTATGCAGTAAAGCTACAAAGAATCTTTGGATAGCTGAGAAAAGTAAAAATTTTGTTTAACATTTAAGGTGTTTTTGAAGTGAAAACTTCTTTAGTATTGGAGTGATCTGAAAAGTAAATAAACGGAAACAGAGCTATGAAACGGCTGCTATACTAAATAATGAGAGAAAAAGAGACAAACATATAGGATTAAGCCTGCGAGACAATGAGACGGAATATAGCTATACAATTTTTTCTATTTTAGATCTCTTCTTTATGCTATGCTTCATAGTTATCGCTCCTGGTTGTATATGTGTGTGTTTGTGTGCGACTGCACACTACAAAGCGTGGACACGTATTCTTTCGATACTCGAAATGTTTGTAGGTACGAGCGATAGAAGGGTAGAAGAAAAAACAGAGATAAGCACGTAGGTATGCGACAAAAGTATAAGCTCCAAACGAACTGAAGGTCGAAATAAAGAAAGAAGATGCGTGGTCTGTTTATATTTTACCAAACGTGTCATTTCTTTTTTATTTAAAAAAAGTTTCTATTTTATTGAAAAATTATTTTTAAATTATTTATTTCGCAAATATTATAATTAACAATTATGAAATATATAGAATATAATAATTGTATTGTCTGCAATATTTTACAAAAAAATGAAATGATTATCGATAAATCAGAGAAAAAAAATTAAACAACATTGTAGAATACTTTTCTTATAAATATCCAAAGACATTTTTTTAATTATAATGTTTGCGTATTTAGAAAATTTATACTAATTTTCCAATAAAATAGAAAAATTTTTAAATAGAAGAAACTAGACACGTGACAAAAACATAAAACCTTATTTACTTTATATTTCCAATAAAAATACAATAATATAACTTATTTTACC